AATACTCCCTGAGGGCAAGGCATGTGCTCTACAGTTGGCCACTTCTGTGGTGTCACTCATGTCTGCATGACCCTTGCAATCATTGAGCTTGAGACCCTGGTCTAGGCATTTTTTTTCTTTTTCTTTTTTTTTTTAAAGATAGAGTGAGAGAGGGAGGGAGGGAGAGAGAGAGAGAGAATTTTTAATATTTATTTTTTAGTTTTCGGCGGACACAACATCTTTGTTTGTATGTGGTGCTGAGGATCCAACCCGGCCGCATGCATGCCAGGCGAGCGCGCTACCGCTTGAGCCACATCCCCAGCCCTGGTCTAGGCATTTTAAAAAGAAAGCCTTTTGGGGGGCTGGGACTGTAGCTCAATGGTAGAGCTCTTGCCTAGCATGCATGAGGCACTGGGTTAGATCCTCAGCACCACATAAAAAATAAATAAATAAAATAAAGGCATTCTGTCCATCTGCAACTACAAAAAAAAAAAAAAATTGCATCCTGACCTCGACTCCAAACACACACACACACACACACACACACAGTTAACTTGAGTGAAAGGATGTCCCAAACTCAAGCAGTGCCCGCCCAGCGGGTCTTTGCAGGCATGTGTGTTGGGGGTGGGGATGAGAGCGGTGGAGACATCACATTTTCATCCTCTGCCAATGCATCCAGCAGAGAAGAAGAAAAACAGAGGTAGGACATTGACTGAACTTTCCACAACTCAAGCATTTCTCATATATATATATATATATATATATATATTTTTTTTTTTAAGAGAGAGAGAGAGAGAGAGAGAGAGAATTTTTTAATATTTATTTTTTTAGTTTTTGGTGTACACAACATCTTTGTATGTGGTGCGAGGATGGAACCCGGGCTGCACGCATGCCAGGCGAGTGCGCTACCGCTTGAACCACATCTCCAGCTCATTTTTTTTAAAACTCTATTCTGTTCTTTTTTTATATATATTTTTTTTAGTTTTCGGCGGACACACTCTTTGTATGCGGTGTTGAGGATCGAACCCGGGCCGCACGCATGCCAGGGGAGCGCGCTACCGCTTGAACCACATCCCCAGCCCCTCTCATACATATTTAGCATACAGAACTCATACATATTTTGCACCAATTTCTGCCTCAAGATGCGTCATTCCTTAACAATGATATTAATAGGTAACATTCTGCTGAATTCACACCAGGTTCCCAGTATTGGGTAAAGTACTTTATAAATATTGTTAGAATTCTTTTGTAACTGCTCCTAAAAGAGTGTAGGGGATCTATAATGGCTCCGAGGTCAGGAAGAGCGGGTGGGAGATGAGCATGGGAAAATAAGGCTGATGATGTAGCTTAAAAGCACAAGGGCGGAAGCCTAGGGATGTGGCTCTGCTGTAGAAAGCTTTCCTTCCCAGGGTCCTGGGTTCAATCCCTAGCACTGGGGGCCGTCGTTGGAAGCAGAAGGGAGGAAAGTGGGAGAAGTGGCCGAAACCCTGTACTCGGGGCTCTTCAAGGCACCCAGCGTGTGCGGGGGCCCAAGCATTCAGGTAGGTGGCTCAGTAGGCCTGGCGAAGGCAGCCGCAACCAGCTCCTCTTTTTTTTCTGGTTCGAGACTACTTCTTGTTCTTCTGCATATTTCTGGACAGATCCCTCTCAAGTTGTCCTTTCCCCTAGTATCTACCCGCATCCATCTGCTCACCAGGAGGACTCCCGCCGTCACGTGACCGGCCCCTAGATCTCAGGATTCTTCCCCCGCCCCCCAGCTGCTGGCGCGCACCCAGCTCTGCAGAGGCGCCGGCCGCGCATGCGCAGGTAGGTGCACCTGCGCGCCAGCGACAAGGTTTCGGGGAGCCCTGCGCCCTGCACCTACAGCAACGCCAGGTCCTGATCCTGGGCTGCAGTTGTAGATAGTGACTTCGTCTGGGTTCAAAATCCCACGGGTTGGGCTTCCCGTTGGTGCACGTCCGACAAGTTGTCCATATAGCCAAACGTCTCCTTAGGTCAGGTTCCTGAGGCTGTTCCTGGGCGCTGGAGTATTCCTCTTGAGCATCAGGAAGTCAGTGTGCTTGTCCAGTCATGCGCCTGCGCTTAAAGCGTGACTTGACCTGCCTGAGCCCCGGGAAAATGATAATAATAGCACCGACCTCGTTGGCCTGAAGTGAAAATTCCTGAGAACTCTACATGGTGCCGTGCATGCATCGATCTCAGTAAATGCAAAACAAGAATATAGAACAAAGGGTAGCACTGTGTGAAGGCTGTGCGGGGGAGGGGGAGGGGCGTTGGCCCTTTAATGCTGATAATCTCTCTGGCTCCTCAGAGCCATCCTGCAACAGAGGTCTGCAAGTTTTATTGTTCCTATGGGGAAACCAAGGCTCAGAGGTATCAAGAAGTCTAGAACGAGATCTTGGATTCCACATGCAGTGTGATTCCAATTCGACACTGCAAAGTCAGGGTTCCTGGGCGAGTTCACAGTCTGTCACCCACTCACTTCTTGAAATATCCTATTTAAAATAACATCTGTTTTGATGCTATTTTATTTTGGATATTCCCAGTGAACATCTCAGGTACACATCAGGAGACTTTTTTTTTTTAACTATTCCTTTTCTTGTCCTTCCTTCTGCAGAAAATTAGGATCTGTTATATTTTATTTGCTGTGAACTTTGAGGAGCCCTCCAGGGCACAGAACCTAGGCCTCAGAGCCCTGGATTCCTGAAGCCAGGTTCACCCCTGGGGGCTCTCCCTCCCACCTTGCCCTTCAGGCTTTCTCCCTGTAGACACACTGACCCCCCTCTGTTCCTGGAAGGACCAAACTTCTTTCTGCCACTGGGTCTTTGCACTATTGTATGTTTTCCAGAACACTCTCTCATCTCCTCCTGCTGCCTTTACCTAGCTCAGGAAACCTGCTCTGACTGCAATCCAGAGAAGGGGTCAAATACCTTCTCACTCACTATCATGGACCCCTCTTCTGCTTCAGAACTTTCCAGAAGGGTAACTTGGAGCTGAACAGGACTCCTTGACTGCCATCTATCTCCTCAACCAGAATACCAGCTCCTTGGGGAAGCTATACCTGATCTATAGCACATGGCCTGGACCTTGGTGGCACTCAGTAAATGCTTGTTGACTCACTGTCCAAATAAGTGACAAGAGGAGCCCTTGCCATGACTACTTTAAAAATTCTACTAAAGAATTTTCCAGTATCTAATTTGTATTTTCATGACAGATACAGAACTGTGGAGTCTCATCAGGTGCAGCAGCACATACTTGTAATCTCAGCAACTCAGCAGGCTGAGACAGGTGGATCACAAGTTCGAGACCAGACTCAGCAGTTTATCGAGGGCCTAGCAAGACTCTGTCTCAAAATGAAAAAATAAATAAAAAGGGCTGAGGATGTAGCTCAGTGGTAAAGTACCTCTGGTTTCAATCCCCAGCATCAAAAAACAAAACTAAACTAAGGGAAAAGAAAGTGTAGAGTCTTTGTTGACATGTGCCAGCTGGATAAAGAAGGAGCATGTGGCATCACAAGAGCATCATAGATCCCCTCATAAATTATCTCCTCCTCCTTCCAAATGTACCCAAAGGCTATTAATGTTCTGTGGGTAAAAGCAGCACTTTGTCTCTAGGTGAAGCCAAGTCAAGGTTCTGTAGGGGTAGACTGGAGTAGAGATGAGAAGATTGTCAAATTGTCTTGCCATAGGGCTGGTGGTTGACTAGGACATGTGGCTTCTTTAGTGTGTGTGGGGGGAGAGGTACTAGAGATTGAACCCAGGGGCTTGTGGATGCTAGTCAAGTGCTCTATCACTGAAGTACCTGCCCAACCCTTTTCAAAGTTTATTTTGAGACAGGTCTCACTAAGTTGTCCAGGTGGCTTGAAAGTTTCAATCATCCTGCCTCAGCCTCCCAAGTAGCTGGGATTTCGAGCTCTTCCCCAGTTTTTACATTTCTTAATAATATGAAGAAAAGAATCTAGCTTTTATAAAAAATTATTTAATGATGAATTTTACTACTACTAGCTTTTCTGTCCTTTGTGATGTTTAATTGATTCAACTTGGTTTTTATTTGAAGTCAGAAGTGAGCCAAGTTCCTTTTCTTTCCTTCAGTGCCAGGGATCAAACTCTGAGCTTTGTGCATGCTCTCTAGGCAAGCACTCTAGCACTGGGTTACACCCCCAATCCTTGTCTGTACTTCAAACGCAATATTTCCCATCAACAAAGAAAGTCCAGTAAAAACTGACCTAGGACCCATTTTGGTAAATGTGGACTCCAGGGAGGAGATACTAAGTCCAGAGTTGATCCCATAGCACATCCCTAACAGATTTGGGACTTAGAAACTTCTAGACTCCAGACTAAGATCAGAATCTACCTGTTGTTGTGCATGGTTGTAGGTCTAGTGCCCAGAATAGCAGTTTACACACATTAACGAGAGAACTATAAATATTTGTTAATGGATGATACACAATCTGACATGAAGTCATAATGCTGCTTCCAGTATCTGAGCTTGGTTTTTTTTTTTTTCATCTGAAAGTGGAGATTAAAAACAATGCCTAGTCGGGCATGAAGGCACACACCTGTAATCTAAGCAGTTCAGGAGGCTGAGGCAGGAGGATCCAAAGTTCCAGGACAGCCTCAGCAATTTAGTGAGACTGTGTCTCTAAACCAATAAACCAATACTGGGGATGTAGCTCAGTGGTAAAGTGCTCCTGGATTCAATTTTCAGTACCAATAATAATAATAATAATAATAATAACAATGTTATAAAATAATAAAAAATAATTTTTTATTTATTATTTTTCTTAGTATTATTTTCTTTATCCAGCTGGCACATGTCAACAAAGACTCCACACTTTTTTTTCCCCTTAGTTTAGGAAAGAGAGGGAGAGAGAGGGCACCCACGTACCCAAGGTTATGTCGTGTCTGGACAGCGTACTATAATAATAGGTCTTATCTCCGAATTCCTTCTGTGGGCAGGGGGAAAAGGATGACTCTCAAAAGGAGTAAAGACAGAACCATAACGGGATTTTTTAAATATACCTGTGTCCAGATTTCGAGCCCAGAGGTTGTAGAGGAGACTTTAGGACCCGGCACTCGACGCTCGCGGCATGTGAGGTGAGGGGGGAGGTCGTGCCTGCCGCACCAGCCAGGGACTGCCTCTCGCCCAGCCGCATCCCGGAGGGCGGGGCCAAGCGCCCGGGTCGCAGTGCGATTGGCGGAGGCGCGCGGATGACGCTATCGGCTGGCGCAAGGCCCCGCCCTAATTGGCCCCGCCCCCGCGCGCTCCGGAGGCTCGGCAGCCTCGCTCTGGCTCGCGCCGCGCCCCCGCGCCGAGTCCGCGCGTCAGTCGGTCCCGAGCGCGGCAGCGGGGCGGCGGGCTGCAGCCTTCCGAGCGCGCGGTTCGAGGAGACCGCGGTGTCTGCGGGCGTCGCGTAAGGAGGCTTGAAGCCCAGAGAATCGCGCAGCGCCATGGCCCCCATTGGTCTCAAAGCTGTGGTCGGAGAGAGTAAGTGGAGTCGGGGTCCTTCCCGCAGGCGGGGGTTGCGGCTGCCTGGAGGAGCCCCGCGGTACCTGACTGCAGCGCCCCGGCCTCCGCGCCTGGACGCTGGCCCACCCCTCTGGGGGCTCCAGGCCCGCAGGGTCCCGTTATTTTGGTGCCGCCCACCCGGGAGGGAAGTCCTTCCCGGCCTCCTGCGGCCCGGCCCCGCTCTCCCCTTCCCGCTTGTGGTCCCTGTTCCTGCCGCTCCCCTCTGCACCCCAGCTCCTTCTCCTTTATCGCCATCCCCCTTCACCTGCGCCACTCACTCCATCCCTCTCCTCTCCCCCACTTCTTTCCCCTTCACCCACACCTCTCCTTCATCAACATCCCGCTGTCCTTTTTACCTCTATCCCCTCGCCCCCATTTCTCCATCTCTCTTCCCCCCTCGTCCCATCCTCCATTCCCGCTTCACCCCCGGACCCATCCCTCCCCCTTCACTCCGCCTTTATCCCCGCCAGCCCATTGCCCTCCTCTGCAGCATCACCCCGGCACCCCGATTCTTCGTCACTCTCATTGCCTGTCCCCCATTCCCCCTCTCCCCTTCCTTGCCTTTATTCCTCGAGCTCCCCGATTCCGCTGCTTTTTCTGTCTCCCGTCCCTCTCTCTTTCCCACCCTCCCTCGAGAATCGTGACGAGAGAAATCCCGGCCTGTGTCCTCCTCTCCTCCCTCCCCCTCCCGGGAGCCGAGCCGCGGTCCCCGGCTGCGGAGACCCACCTGGGAGCGGCTCGGCGCGCGCGGCCCGGCCACTCCTGCCAGCTGGGGAGGAGACGCCTGTTTTCCAAAGGCTCTGCTCTGCTGGGCTGAGCCGCCTCACTCCTCCTCCCCATCTCCGGGCTTGGCTTCCAAGGGCGGGGTCTTGCCTGGGTCGCGAACCCTCTTCCATCACTCGGAAGAGAGGAGGGCTTCTGTGGACCGCGGGAGGATGGCCCTACCCAGCGCCGCAGTCTGCAGTCTCCCTCTTTGCAGGACTCAGCCTGGCTCGGCTGACCGTCTTAGGCAGCTCAGACATTGCTGCAGGGAGGAAATGGTTGTTTATGGGTTTGGATGAAAGGCCCAGCATGAATGGATTTAGAAAAATGGGTGGTGGTGAGCGTCGGCTGCAGCGGAGTGAGGGCTGATGGGGAATATCTGGAAAACGGCGTTCTCTGTGCTAAATAAGATCAGTGATTATGTGTAGAAAAATAGCGCCTCTTCCATATTTTGGCGTTTCTTTATGACAAAAAAAAAAAAAAACGTGTGAGGACTGCTGTAGCTTTTGCTTACTCTTGAGTTAAGGGAAAATTAAAACTGGGCTTTTCTCTGTAGGAGAGGATAAAAAAGGAAAAAAATAAAAATGGTGGAAATTTACAGTTTCCTTTCCAGTGATTCTCTCCTATTACGGCGCTCGCAGTCTTGCTCCGTGTCTGCTCTCCAGTGCTTTCGCTGTTGTCGAGTTCTTTTGGAGCTTCATAACTGTTTTTCCCTTTCCTTATTCTTCTCATCAGAATATGGGAAATATTCCTATTGAGGAGTCTTGTTGAATGACCTTACCTGACCTATTATATCAGAAGAATATTGTTATAAAAACTGAACTCCAAATGAACATTTGTTAAAAGATGCTTACAGTAACACCCGAATTATCCTGGCTGTTTTCTGAGGAGAATCAGTGTTTAAGACTGGAAGAATCCACAGGGATCCCCTTATATCAACATCCTTATTTTACCCAAGGGAAAGAAATGGAGATTTGCAGCAGTTAATGACTTGCTAAAGTCAGTGTTAATTAATTTTTTAAAACCTGGTGTCCATTTCTTTGCAACCTTAGTTAAAAAAAAAAAAAAAACTTTATTATTCTATACATACCATTTCCTTCCAATATCCTTTTAAAGCGTTAAAAAGTAGGGATGACTGGAATATTACATGCTACATTGTTTCAAATGTTATATTTGAATACTTCACTTAGAAGATAAAATTCCTAACTGTTGTAGAAATCAAGTTTGTGCATCCTTTTGTTAGGACCCTTGTTTTTCCAGGTGGCTCCCTAGTTCCCCTCCCTTGTTTTCTGTAGAAGCAAGCATAAAGGTAAATAAAAGCAAAATGAATCAATATGCAATATGCCTAAAATTTATTACTGAAATAAAGCAAAATCACAGTGTAAAAAGTGAAAGGAAACCCGTTTTACCTAAAGCGGTGAATGTGGGATTCTATTGCTGTAATGATTGAGTTAGGCATATATTCTAGAAAAATATATTATTGCAATCTTTTGTCACTGATACAGGTTAATTCTGTCTCCTAATTTGAAGATGGGTTTTTTAGCTTTGCCTTTTTCTCTAAAAAAATAAAGTAAAATAAAGGTGTTTTCTAACCTCTGTGTGCCAGTTTAGATGTCACCTCCACACCCTGGTCTTCCCAATCTAAACTAACATCCTTAATCACTATTTATCTTTTTCTTTTCTTTTTTGCTATTTGGGGTTTGAACCCAGAGCCTTGTGCTTGCTAAGCAAGCACCCTACCTTTGGACTACCTCTCTAACCCTATTTATGACATTTTTTTCCATGATAAATTAAAATGTTTGTTTACTTTCATAGCAATTAAAATGATCTTGTTCTTTTTTTTTTTTTTTTTTTTTTGGTGATGCGGAACAGTGGCAGAGAGGGTGATTGTTTCATACACTTGAATGTTACTTCTGCCAGAGCAGGGTCTTTATTTTATGTGTTTGGGTGCCAAGAACAGCAGCATACTGGGGAGTTAATATTTGTTGAATGAATGTTACTTAGAATATGAAGGAAAGCAAAATAAATATTTTTTTGCAATGCTGGCAGTTGAACTCAGGGCTGGGTGCACAGTAGGCTCATGCTGTATAACTGAGCCACTTTTCTAGTTCCCTGTTGTCCCTTCTGGGTTGAGCTTTATTGAGTAGCCAGTAACTACAGCTACAAAAAAAAAAAAAGTGGAGGAGATGCCAGGTGCGGTGGTAATTCCAACTACTGAGGAGGCTGAGGCAGGAGAATCACAAGTTACTAACCTCAGTAATTTGGTGAGGCCCTAAGCAACTTAGACCTTGTCTCAAAATAAAAATGGTTAGGGTTATAGCTCAGTGATAGCTGAGGAGACAGGTTGCCTTTACTTTAGTTATTCATTCAACAGACATTTATTCAGAGCTTACAAAGAGCCGTGGAGGCGCCTGGGCTGTAGCTCAGTGGCAGAGCACTTACCTCGCATGTATAAGGCACTGGGTTCAATCCTTAGCACCACATAAAAATAAACAAATAAAATGGAGGCATTCTTTCCATCTACAACTTCAAAAAAAAAAAAAAAAAAAAAAAGAACCATGGGGTTATAAAGCCAAGTAAAACATGGGACCACTCTTATGTTGTTCTGGGAAGTTTTTCCTGTTACTTTCCTAACACAGTTTCTTGTTGTTCTTGTTGTTGTTTGTACTGGAGATTGATCTCTGGGACCCTCTCTATTGAGCTATATTCCCAGCCCTTTTTACTTTATTTTGAGACAGGGTCTCACTAAGTGGCTGATGTTGGCCTTGAACTTATGATCTTCCTGCCTCCACCTTCTGGGTAGCTGGATTACAGGCTTGCACACCACTGCACCTAACTCCCAACACACTTAGGCATGCTCACTATGGTATACTTATGGTCTTGCCCGTCTAGATTATGAGAGAGAGAGAGAGAGAGAGAGAGAGAGAGAGAGAGAGAGAGAGATGCTGTGCTAGGGATTGAGCCCAGGGCCTAATGCATGTTAGGCAAGTACTTTACCACTGTGCTATATCCGTAGCCTGATTCTACTCAATTTTTTACTTTTTTATTCTAGTTTTTTTTCCCTCTGCTTTGCAAAGAGATTGTAAGAAAAAGGAGAATTCCACTTTTTTGATGGCATCTATGTATGTTAATATATGATATTTCATGTAAATCCATGCTGTAGTCTAGAGTTCTCACCTATCCGCTGAAGTTTTGTGTTACAAAGACTCAAGCATTCTCATATGTACTATATTTCTTGTTATTTCCTACCTGTTACCAGTTTCTTCACATGTACTTTTGTGTGTGTGTGTGTGATACTGGGGACTAAACCCAGGGGTATTTTACATCTCCAGTTCTTTTTATTTTTTATTTTGATTCAGGGTCTCCCCAAGTTGCTGATGCTAACTTCAAACTTGCAATCCTTCTGCTAGAATGACAGGCTTTCATCATCACATCTGGCAAAATTCATCCTTTTAAGTGAATAGTTTTTTCAAATTTCAGCTGTCACACCCAATCTTGTGGCCACCACCAAAATCAGAATAAAGAACAGCACCCCACCCCCTCCAGATTCCCTTCTGGTATCTGTTTACTGTCAAGTCTTTCCTGCCAGCCCCTGACAACCATTGAACTGCTTCTGTCTCTATAGTTTTGCTTTTTCCAGAAGCCGGGTCAGTGGAATCATATGGTATGTATCTTTTAAAAGATGACTCCTTTTGCTTAGCATGCTGCATTTGGGATGCATTCACGTCTGCATCTCTGCCATCTGTTTTTGTTGCTGACTACTGTCCTGTGGTAGGGTCACTGCAGTTTGCTTATCCATCCTCTAGCTGAAGGACATCTGAGTTATTTCCAGTTATGGGCAGTTAGGAATAAAGCATAAAACATTCAGACACAGACTTTTGTGTGAACATATCATATT